CGAATCTGTGCACCGGGCCACTAGTTCTCCAATTAAACAACCAAAGTTCCCTAGAGAAATGGCTGATTCTAGGATTGAGGTAAGATGTAGTAACAGAAAGTAAGGAAATGCTCAAAAACAAAAAAAACCATCTCATCTTAATAGATATTTTAAAAATACAGAACTCTGAAAGAGCTCCCAGTGGCCACAGCTGGGACAATTAGAGTAACAAAATAAAATAGTACTGGATTTAACTTAAAATCCTGTATAATAAAAGGCTAATATGCAAATCCACCAAATGGTGCGGTCACTATGACACAAACTGACCACGAGAGGGCAAAAGTTCAATGCAGGAGTTGCCCCTGGTGGTCAGTGTGCTCCCATAGCGGGTGCACTGCTCAGCCAGAAGCCCTGAGCCAGGATCACAGCTGATGAGTGCAAAAGTGGTAGAAGGGGCCTCTTCCACCTCTGCAGCAGTTGGACATCCTCCAAAGGTTCCCAGACTGTGTGAGGGCACAGTCCAGGCTGAAGTACCCCCCTGAGTGCATGAATTTCATGCACTGGGTCTCTAGTATAAAATAAATATCTATAAGTCCACACTCAAATGAATTATTGAATCCATAAAATGGAAAAGAGAAAAATTTCCTATGCAAAATAATTCCAAATAATTAATGTGGATTACCCTCAAGGAGGAGGAGCATAAATCCCTGATCATTAGGCATGGGCTGCACAAAGTGAATTCCTTCCAAGGAGTATAGTATGGAAAGGAAGAAAAAAAGAGTAAATTTGCAGTGGAGAAACCTGGCAAACACTACCTCAGCCAGGTGGTCTAAGAGGCAATATCAAGAGTGATAAATCATGTTGACAGTATGTATCCTTGATAGGTAACCTGGGGCAAGTTACTAAACCTCTTATGGCCTTTGAGAGTAGCATCTACTGTGATGGTCTTTTTTAATTGTTAAATATATATAAAATACCTCCCACAGCATCTGGAGCATAATTAAAAATAATATGAATAATTGAGAATTAAACATTTGAAAAGTGATCAGGGTCTGATTTTTGTGATGTAATCATCTTTTATAAACTATTGACTGATGTTGCCAGTGATTTACTAACACTTTTGAAGCATGCTACAGACCTCTGTGTGTATATATATATATATATATATATATATATATATATATATATGTATATGTATATGTTTATGTATATGTATATGTATAAACAACACGGTCCTTTTTCTTTAGATCTTGATATCATGGTGGAGCTTTTATTGAAGACACTTGTGATCATTATTATGGCTGCATCTGCTGTTAGCAAAGGTTTGTATCATTTATCTATGTCTTTTAGGCTTAACTTGCCTCAGTATTTCCTCAATACAAGAAAAAAGTGCATGCTGGGCTATTTGAAGCTAGATATCAGATCACACATAAATGCCCTCAGATTTCTGCTTACTGTTGCCCTACTAAAGCAATAACAAAGAATCGGGATATCCTGCTGTCGTCTGTTCTTAGACAGTGTCTCCTCTGTTGGCAATGCATTACTTCAATACTGATGCACTGGCTTTGACTCTGTTCCTTATTATTGAATGCATCCTACAATGTAATGTTCAGTGTTCAATAGAGGTGGTAAATGAGTCTGCATTATGGGAAACTGGATTAATAATATGGCTTAATAAGTCAAATACTAAATGTGACAATTGTTTGATAGATGCAATTTGCTTGGGAGGTTGGTTCTACACTCCTCCAGTTTCTCAAAATAAGTTATAGCAAATTTGTGACTCTTTAGAATTCTTTTGTTTTAAAACTAAAAAAATAAGCAAACTGGACATTGTAAATTGTTCTTTGGAGGTTTAGATATCACTGGCAGTGACCTATTGGAAAGCATAAGACACTTGATCTTTGGCCCCTGACCTCTTTTTGTTAATCCTCACCCAAAGATATTTTTCCTGAGAGAGTGAAAGGGAGAGAGAAAAGGAGGGAGGTAGGGGATGAGAAGGAGAGGGGTAGGGAGAGGGAGAGGGAGAAACATCAATTGAGAGCGACACATCCATTGGTTGCCTCCTGAAAGACTCTGACCAGCATTCTGGATTGAGCCTGCAACTGAGGTATGTGCCCTTGACCAGAATCAAACCTGGGACCCTTCAGTCCATAGGCCCATGCTTTGTCCACTGCCCCTAACCTCTTTTGTCATCCTTCCCTCTGTTAATTGGACTGGACACTCTGTTGACAACACTGGATTCTCTGTTGGAGAATCAAACCTTTTGCAATGATAGACACAGATGTATCCTTATCATGTATTTCTTTAAGATGGATTGTTGTTTTGTTTTAAATTTCTGATTGATAGCCAAAGGATCCAGCATCTCAGATCAGCCTGTCTCAGGTTTCTGCTATAATAACTGATAAGATATTTTTAAGACCACATAGACTAAAACTGCAAACTGTACCAAATTAGGTGCTTACTTTGTTTTAAAAAAGCTAGCTGTTTCTGTGAGCATTCTTTCCCAACTATGTAACTCCTAAATCTCCATAACTCTCTGAAACTCTCTGAACCTACATTCCTTATTTACTTTGTTGTTTCCCTTGCTAGCAAATAACTGTGATGCGTGCTTAAAATAGGTTTGCTTTTAATATACTTTATCTTTATTATCTCTCACTCCTATTACCACCACTGAAAATATATGCAGTGTGTAAGGTGAAGGGAAAGGTATAAGTAACACATGACATACACTTTTCTCCATCTGTCTTAGTGACAATAAGAGTAATTCCCCCCGTAATTGCAAGAAAAGAACATGCAATGACAATTTTTTTTTTTACATTAACCTTTCAACATTAGGATTTTTTTTAAAAAAAGAATCAATGTTAATTAGGCCTTTTCCTTTTGGGGTCTTTTCGGAAGTGATTTACCCATTCATTTAAGAAATATTTATTGTTTACTATGTGCTATTGCACTATTCTTGAATTCTAGAATAGGTGCTGAGGAAATACCTTAGAACAAAACAGAAAAATCCTGACCTCATGGAACTTACATTCCAATGGAAGGAAAACAGACAATAAGAAAAACAGTATTTATGTTAGAAGGTATACGTTCTAAGAAGAAAAAAAAACTCAAGGGAATATGCTGGGGAGTGGCAGCATTTTAAATGAGATGGTCAAAGTAGGTTTCCTTGAAAAAGTTGATATTTGAGTGAAGATGGGACAGAAATGAGGGAGCTAGTCAGGAGGGTATCTAGTGAAAAGAGCTTTCCAGATAAAGAGAATATACCGTATTTTCCGGCGTATAAGACGACTTTTGAAACGAAAAAAAGCCTGCTCAGATTGGCCAGAGTCAGAGAGGCAGTCTATTAAAAAAAGAACTGGAGTTGCCTCAGAAGTGGGGGGTAGTCTTATACAGCGAATATAGGCCTTTCCTATGTTTTAATTGTAAAATTAGGGGGTCGTCTTATACGCTGGAAAATACGGTAGTCAGTGCAAAGACCCTAGGGCAAGAGATTCCCTGTGGTCCAAGGTGCTGGAACAAAGAGGTTAGTAGAAATGAGGTCAGAGAGGTGACTGTAGGAACTTGGTAGGAATGTTTTCCAGGTCACAGAAAGTTCGCTGGCTGAAAAAGCTGGGAGCTGATGATTTTGGCTTGATCTAAGGTCCACAGGCACACTTCTCAATGTCAAAAGCATATCCATGTCATGCTACAGGTGGATATCTCAAGCTGTGTCTATATCACCCTTAAAATAAAAGTAAAAATGCCTTGCTTGTGGAATTGGAAAAACATGTAGAAAATTAAATTTTAGGTCAGGCACCTAAATTACAGTTTTAATTCACTAGCTAGGATCTTAAATATTAATGAGCCTTCTTCTCTGTTTTATTTACAGGTTGGAAGAGTATCTTTTTCCAGGTTCCTGTTGTCTCTATTTTATCTCTTGGTTTCCCTTAATATCTCAGTCCAAGTAGTATTTTCCAATCTTATTTCCTATTCATGGTTTACTGTCACATTTTACCGGCAACACATTTTATTGTGATGCTGAGGCCAGAATTTAACTGGCCCAGAAGTATGGAAATTGTGTGTCGGAGGTAGAGTAAAACAACAAACCCTACTTGTCCTCAATTAGTAGAATCATGTAAAATCAGGATTTTTCTTTAATTTCTGGCTCACTATGGAAAGGAACCATTTTGTTTCCTTGGTGAAGACACAACAGCATAGAATGACAGTCATGGCATATCGAGTCAATTTCATTTTCCCAGGAGTACCAGCCTCCAGGAAGGGGGGTTGAGGTGGGGAGACGCTGGCAAAGGGGAATGGACAAACCGGCCTTAGTTTTGCAAAATGCCTTGTGTATCCCTTGCAAATATGGCATGGAAAGGTGTCTTTATATTAACTCTGGAAATATGGCCTGGAAAGGTGTCTTTATGTCAACTCTGGAAATTCACGTCTCAGCTCCCTGGAAAAATGGTTTCTACGGTTTGGCAGCAGGTCCAGGTCAACTAACACATTGGAGCCAGAGGCATGTTCAGATGGAGGGGCTTCTAGGCTCACGGCGTTTGTTCCGGGGTTCAGTCCCGAACCCCGGTTCAGTCCCCAGGAAGTTGGGAATGTTTGCAATGACACCTGCTGAAGTCTGCTCACCCGGACAACTCAAAAACACCCGGTCAAGAAGCCAGGGAAGCTGTAGAGATAGATGGCTGTTAGCAAACAAAAGTGGCTTTTACTTATTTCCTCCACCCCCCCACCGCCCCCAGGTCCCCAAGCCCCCGCTGTTATGCAAGTGCTGGCCAATCAAGGGATCGGCGCCAGTCCTGCCGGTGGGGACCCGGGTGAAGACGATACGCCCGTATCACTTCCACGACCTGCCGCGCACCCCAGTAGCGAGCGCGCCGAGGATCGGGAAGGACGCAGGGAAGTTTCCGTCCAAGTTTAGGAGAGCGCGTGGCGGAGCCGGGACAAGTCGCGGGTCCACATTGAAGCCTCAGACCGTGGAGGGAGCCGAACTCTCCGGCCGCCGTCCTCTCCGGCCGCCGCCCAGGGCCATGCGAAAGGGCAGCTTTCCTGCAGGACACCCGCCGCCCGCTCCCCGGGACCCGCGAGCTCCGCAGCGCCGTCCGCCCAGGGCCCGGCCTCCTCCGCCGGCCTCGCTCCCCGCCAGGGCCGGCCGCCCCCGGCGAGCGGCGGAGGACGAGCGGTTCCCGCAGGCGTGCGCGCCGCCGGCTCCCCGGCCGGCCTGGCGCGGGGCCCTCTCTCCACTCCCCGCGGTCGCTCATCGGCCGGGCCGCCCAGCTCCGGGAACCCCGTCGTCGCCATCGTCGCCGCCGCCGGTGCCGCCCCGCGGGCCTCCGGACGCCCGTGTCCGCTCCCCCGCGCGCCGGCGCCATGGAGACCGTCACGAGACGCCGGCGGCTCCCGCGCCGGCCAATGGGAGAGCACGTCGCGGCGAGACGCAGACGTCGCTCTTCCAAGATGGCGGCGCGTCCGTCGCGAGCAGCCGGGCCGGGGGGAAGCCTGCGAAGCCGAGTCCAGCCGCCGCCCGGGGAAGGACTGAAGGGGCTGTTGCCGCCGTTGGCGGCGGCGCGGGCAGTTTCCGCTGCTGCTACGGCTGCTGCCATGCGGCGAGGCTAGGGAGGAGCTCACTCCCCCGGGGTGTAATAATGTTAACAGAGGTAAGCGGCGGCGGCGGCCGGTGTTTACCTGGGAAATGGGCCGGCCGGGCAGAGGACGGCAGTGCTCGCGCCGGCGGGCGGGCCGGCCCTCGGAGGCGGGCTGCGGGACCGGCGGCGCAGCGGGGATCCTACAAGTGCCCCCCGCGGGGAGCCGTGCTGACTCAACAAGAGTCCCGCCGCCGCCGGCCGGCGCGCTCTCCCTTCGCAGTTGCCCCTGCCTTGCCCGCCGCCCGGCTCGGGTCTCCCCTCCCTGCGGTCGCGACCTCCCCACCGGCCGCTTCCTTCGTGGTCTCTCCCTTCCACGCTGCTCGGTGGCCTCGCGGGGTCTCTGCGTTGCCCACGGTTTGCTCGAGGTCTCTCCCCTTCCCTCCCCCGGTCCCGGCCTCCGCGGCCCGCCCTCCGCCTCCCTCCGTGCGCGGTCAGCATCCCGGGCTGGTCACTCGCCGGGCCGGTTGGGGGCCCGCCGCGCCCCTGACCGCTTCGTGGTGGAGGGGACCTGCCCGTTCCCCCAGCGAGAGGGAGTAGGGCAGCCTCCCCCCCCACCCCCCCACTCCGGCCACTTCCAGCTGACACCGTGGGAATAAATGAGAAAGTTGTGCTGGACATCCTTCCACCCTCCTGATTGCTTGGGGCTCCCTGGGGTCCGTCCGTCCCCCCTTCTCCCTCTCCCCCCTCCCTCTCCCTCTCCCTCTCTCTGTCTCTGTCTCTCTCTCTCTCTCCTCTCTCACCTTTTCCTGGGACCTGAACTGGAACTGGGGCAGCTAGCTGTCACCAACCAGTCAGTTTCCCTTCCTAGGGCCCAGTGTCCAGGGCAGAAAAAAAAACAAAAAAAAAAAAAAAAAACAGACTTTTTTTTTTGGAGAAGTTGAGTTTTAGCCTTTACTAGCTAGAAGTGCTGAAGGACACAACGAACGGACGGACGGATCCAGGCCCTGGACACCGCGAAGCCAGTGGTGGAGTGGTTGGTTGGTGTATGCTGCTGGTGCAGGCATCACTGAGGGTGCACATGCCAATGCTTGTGGGTTTAAGGAAAATACCTTCAAAGCTCCTCAGCTGAAGTCCCGCGGGGATTCCGGGGTCAGCTGTCAGGCACCAGCTTGGGCATCTTTGGGGCTGAACTATGGACTAAGGGTAGGAAGCCATTTAAAGGGGCCATGGGGAGTATTTTTATCTGGGCCAAAAAGGGGAAATAAAAAATATATATATATATATATTGGTAGAGGAGTGTGGGAATTTGAAAATAAAGGACTTCCTTGCCTTCTTTCCAACTGGGCTACCTCTGAGGAACTTCCTACTCGGGTGATTATGTGTTCTTAATAATCTGTGCACAGAGCCTGGCCTATGATTTGTTTACCAAGTACTTGTTGATTTTTAATTCACGAACTATTTATTTCTAGTCTTTGCTAGTTCACTCTGTATTTCTAAATCCCACCGATCTTTTCATTCCTGGAGTCTATTTATTTCATTCCCGAAAATTGTGGTATATCATAAGCTTCTGTTGTCATTAGCAGTATCAGGTTAAAAAAAAACACACAAAAACACAAAAAAACCTTAGAGGTAGCAGAAGTTCTATTTTTACCTACAGTGTGATGTTTTGGTGGGAATAATTAGCCTTATAAGTTTCCACTGTTGTCCCTAATGTATAATCATTTAGGAGATAATCTTTTGATTAAATTTGGCTTGGGTTAGCACGTGAACTCATTGTGTTTGCTAATAAAATAAATAGATTAGTGTCTTGATTTGGAAAGATTGAACTTTCTAAGCTTTTGTATTTTAAAATAATTTTGTTTCGGCGACATATCAGTGATAGTAGTAAGATGCACTATATATAGTGCTCTGTGTGTACAATAAGGGGCATCGCTTATAAGAGGCAGTGCCAGGGTCCCAGCGTTGGCAGTCTAGATGAAGTCTGCTAACTACTACACTGGAGTGCCTCTCTAGAGTAAGGTCTAGATTAAATGGTACTTGGATCTTATCTGTGGTTTTTAGTAGTCATCTTATAGATTATAAAACTGAAGTCCAGAGACTTGTCCAAGGTCAAGCAATTTCTGGTGGCAAAGGTGAAACTAGAATCCCATTTCCAGCTCAGTACAGAACTCTGATTTCTTAATGAGTAGTTTTCAGCTCTTTTGGATAGTTTTTAAAATAGGGTACTTCCTTGTCTGATTATGGTCAATAGATAAACTGGGAAAGTTATCATTACTTGAGAAAAACTTTTTGCTTTACTTCTAGCTTTTTTGTTTATTTGAACAAGGCTCAGGAATAGTCCTATTTTTAAATATTTTAGATATACAAGTTTTACTCATTGTTAATTGCTAAAAATTAGTAGTGTGGGACTTCTTTTTACTGCTAACTTTTAGTGTTAACTTTAGATAAGAAAATTTTAGGAGATGTGATTTAATTTGTGTTAGGAATTAAAATGTATAATGAAAAACTGTATTTTGAAAGATTCTTATGTTCAACAAGCATATACTGTGCTCTTGATTTTACCATCTGCTTGGTTCTTCTGTATTTTGACATTGAAGTAGGTGATTTTATCTCCATTAGCCCCATGAGAATACCAAGATTGAGAGTTTAAAGCGGCTTGCTTGTTGTAAGTGGTGGAGCCAGCAGTCACACCTAAGTCCTCTTATTCCAAATTGTGTGCTGTTTTTGCGCTCAGTATGGAATGTATTATAAATTATTGTGGCTGATAATCAGCAGTTGTTTTTCTTTTTAATCAAGGTGGGGATTCCAAGTATGTAGACAAATAATAACATAGTGATAAACATTTATATGAAACTTCAGTTTTGCTTTTTGTCAAAGTAGATCTTTGAAACCTTTTCAGAAATGAGAAACCATGCAAGTGATTGACTAAGGGCTATATTAAGTTAAAAGAGAAAATTAGTCAATTGAGCAAATATGCACAATGAACTTTGAAACTTGAAAATATGATAGGTTAGTGTGAATTGAAAATACAGCTCCAAAAGGTCGTATTGCCTTTTTTTTTTTTTTTAAATGTCTATTAAAATTTCCTCTCCTACTGTCTTTGCCCCTGTTAGGAATTCTTACTCTTAGTGTTACTCCTATGATATTTGACAAAAAATTTGTTATAGTAGACTTGAAAGCTATTTGTAGGAAAATATAGGAAAGCTATTTGTAGGAAGATGTAGGAAAACATGCTAAATTTGTACTAATGCTCTGGAGGTTGTTTTTACATAAAAACCAATTACCAGCCTATTGACACTTGTGCTGTTGAAAATAGTGAATAAAAATTGTAGTTATTTAAACTTAATATCTTGTTTCCCCAAAAATAAGACAGTGTCTTATATTAATTTTTGCTCCCAAAGATGCGCTAGATCTTATTTTCAGGGGATGTCTTATTGTTCCATGCGCTAGGTCTTATTTTCGGAGGATGTCTTATTTTTGGGGAAACATGATAGTTTGGGTTGTGTGCAAATGTGAGGCATTAGTTAATGCTAATTCTTGATTTTGTGATTAACAAATATGATACAGATGGGAAAAGATATAAACTGCAGCAGTTTTATTTACGTATTTTATTTTTCTTATGTGTCCTAAGACAGGGAACCATAGGCAAGCCCTTGTAGGAGGGTTAAACTGCAGCACTTTTAGAAGTCCCAGGTTAATAGTTGTTAAGGGAGTAAAATTTTGTGGCTCAAATAAATTTGGAATATATTTGCCTAAAGGAAGTTAAATAGATGTCTTTTCTGGAAAAGCTCATAGCTTTTGATAGGTGATTTACTTTCAAAGAAGGTAATAGAATTTGCATTACATTGCAAAGTTGTTTAACTTAATTGGTTTTGACAAACTCTGACTAATATGGAGAGTTATAGAATTTCTTGTATTTTATTTTAGGAAATCCTGAGTGTTGATGAGTTGTTCCTCAAGAAAGGGTCCTGGACTTGCAGGGATCTTTTATACACACACACACACACACACACACACACACACACACACACACACACACACACTAACAAGGAAAAGCACCTTAGGTCCATTGATATTCAAAGGATGTTAAGATCTAGAAAATGTTGTGAAGAGAGAGAACTTTGAATAAAGCAGTGGACCTCTCTTAACATACCATTTTTTAAAAAGTGGTTGAAATTGAGTGAATAAGCTGGACTCATGGTAATGCATTATTTCTGTCAACATACGATACCTACCACAGTAGTGAGGTAACACACAAATGATCTATATCTTAGACATTATAAGGATGAGTCCCAACTTATTTATGATGTGACATTAGGAAGATGTTTGAACTTTGAGCCTTAGTTTCCTTCTGTGTAAAATTGCTTTAATAATAGCACCTTTCTAAGCTGCTGTCTCATTGTTGTGAAGATCAAATAAAATGAAATAAGGTATATAATTCTTTGTGAACTGTCAATAATTATACACATATCAGTGGTTAGTACATCAGGTTTTTCTCTATATGCCTTGTTCTAATGTCAATTCAAGCCCTAGGTTCTGTCTAGCTTTATGGTTTGCTAATTTCTCAGTTGTGGGTGGATCCCAGGAGAAAGGAGTGCCTTGATCATTGGTGTAATTACAGGGGAGGAGTTGTAGGCCTCAGGAATGGCCATACGTGGCTGAGTGGTGGGGTCAGACCTGACCTGGGTGTAGCAACTTAAGTACTTGGGTTCTGGCTAGGAAAGAATTCAGAGTGGAGATCCAAACTGTAAGAGAACATTTATTTGGTAATTCACAGAAGTAGAAGAAAGTAATTCCTAAAAGAAATGAGCTTAGGAAACAAGTTATAGAGGTAAAGTATGGAGCTTGGGAGTGAGGAACCTAATGGTAACTTATCTGGAGCAGGAAGCAGGTGGGGGGTGGGGGGGGAGTGATAAGGGGAAAGGGAGAGGGAAAGAAAAAGGCACTGGTGTATTCCAGGGGAGGAGAGCGCACTGGGTCCTTGTCCTAAAGGTTTTAAGGGTGGAAATTTTAGGGTTGGTCCCAGGGGAAGATCCTAATAGAATATTCAGCAGTTTTCCAGGTGTGTCCTT